GAGGAGGAGGAGGAGGAGGAGGAGGAGGAAAGTTTCTCCTTTACGTTGATCTCCTTCAGGATGAAGACACAGAGAAGAAGATGAAGAAGAGTCTGACCCTGATCACGGCGTCTCTCTTGTTCTGAGCTTCTCCGATGCGAGCGTCCTTCTGAACCTGCGCCGTGCGACCTTTCCCCAGAGAGTGGAGGTAGTCCTGCGGTGAGACGGACGACAACATGAACATGACAACACTGAGCAGGAGCAGGAGCAGGAGCAGGAGCTGAGCAGTGAAGTGGTCTGTGCCACACCTGGTCGTCGTGAACGTCCTTGAGGGTGTAGCTGACCACGCTGATGCCCATGTTGACCAGGTCGGAGGAGGCCACTTTGAAAACCTGCTCGGAGAACTTCTTACGGTCCTTGTAGATCTCCTGCGAGACGGAGGTGGAGATGAAGACGACGGTGACTTCACAGACACCGTTTACAACAAAACTACACAGTGAAAGTATAACATCGTGATTGAGCTAAAAATCAATACAAATTAACATCGACTGAAATAAAAAATGAATCTTGAATCGAGGTGTGCATCTCAAAATGCACTGGTCATACCATGACACTACACACTCTTGTACAGTAGGTGGCAGTATGCGCCTAAAAGCGCTGGTGGTGACGTGAGTTAGCGTGTATGGAAACATTCAAATCATTCAAACTGAGCCCAGATGTCCTCACCTCTACAGTCAGGTGTGCGATGATCGCCCTCTGGTGGCCCTCCAGCGTCTCCAGAGCGATATGTGCAATTTCCGGCTCTGACTTTCCCATGAACATCTGACAGGCTGCAGCTAGCATCTGTTTGTTCTGACCCTGGATCTTCATCTGTCGGAGAAAAAAAAAAACAGATTCTGATCAGAAAACAGTGGGGATGTGAGTTGATATGAAACCACTAGGGGGCGACTGTGCTGAACTGCGTTTGTGGATCTTAGTTAAAATATCACTGAGTAAGATTGTCTTTATCTGAACAGGACTGTAATGTTGGAAAATATGAATAAAATAAAATAAATCAGACCTCTACTCTGACCTCTGCCTTGACCTCAGCCCTGACCCCTGTACTGACCCCTGCTATGACATCTGATCACTTTATTTTCCATCTTTTACTTGACCCGTCGCGGTCGAACGCTGCGGCGTGTTCTTGACGTTATCGTCGTTGCCGACCACTGACCTGGGCCACGCCCGTCACAGAGATGGGAACGCCGTGGCGAGTGTAGACTTTGTCGCTCTTCACGTTCAGAGTCAGAGTGTTGAGGGAGATCCTGCAGTTGGACAGACACAGGTTCCAATGACTGATGGTGGAACTAATGGGAGAAGGAGTCAACCTGACGTTTCTGCTGCCCCCAGGTGGACACTGCAGGCTTAAACTTTTTTTTAATTAAAATTCAAACTATAACTGTTATTAACTGTTGTGTTCTAGAACAGTAGGTGGCGATCATTGGGTTTGGTCATAATTTGACTGGAGTGGCGCTTTGGCCCAGAGGCAATGTCTCTGTCATTGGTGTGGAACCCCAGGGTTCACCTCCTGGGCAAGTTCGAATCCCGGTTAGGGCGGTTGGTACCTTCCAGTGGACTCACCACCCGCAGGAAGGTTTGGTACGGTGCAATGTGATTTGGGTGGCGACTGCTGCCCCCGCGACCCGGTAACGGATAAGCGGATGAAAATGGATGGATGGATGGATGGATGGAGTTTGTCCATTTAAGTAAATACTTTCCTGCCCCATCCTGACCGTGGTGTTGACGCTGTTAGCAGCTGAAGACCACCTTAGTGCCCAGCACTCAGTGAGGCTGGTCTGACACAAGCCAGGCCTCTGAGCTGAAGCCTCTACAAACACATACTGTGTGTTGAGGGAGGTTTGAAGCTGCAGGTGTGTTGTTTGCAGTGTGCAAATAACAACATGTGTATTGACTGTGTATTAGAGCAGAAAGTATGAGTGGGTGGACAGTGGGATTATGGGATATGCAGTGTCTATCAATCTGCCCTTGGGTTAAAGTTTTTAATCTGCTTCATCTTCAAGAATTAATTAGCAGCCTTAACGTGCTAATTGTGACAGCCCTGGTGAACCAAGAGTAAACACTCCATATTGACTCCCTCATCTATCTATTTATCAAAGACACCAATGTCATGTGACTTCATATAACGATCCGACTGTCAGTTGTGCTTTTGGCATTACACTGTATTAAAGAAGACTTAAAACAAGTGACTGTAAATAGAACAGGGAAGTATCAACATATAAATGGTGCTTCATTTCCCAGTGTAACTTCCATTCATGTGAAGTTGCTTCTAAAAACCAGCAGAACATGTAAAATCTTCTTCTTCAACTTTCAGCTGGATAGTTATTAGAGTAATTTCCTGTACACAGAGTACTTCCTGTTTACCTTGTCATATCAGAAAGTACACTCAGGGAAATAAAAGCTGGGGGGGGGGGGAATGCAACCCTGATTGAATACCAGCTTTAACTCTGAACTAAATGTGTCTCACCCTGACTCGTGCCACCGTCTGAACCGCCTGTTC